TGTGTTTGTGTGTGTGTGTGTGTGTGTGTGTGTGTCCAGCTCAGCCCACCAGGGGGTGGGGCTGGCTGGCATGTGGTGCTGGGGGATTGAACCGCGGTCCCCATGCTTGCTAAGCTTGTTCTAAGTAGGTGCTTTAGACCACTGAGCCATCTCACCAGCCCCTGCATTTTGTTCTTAATGCTGTAAATAGCATGCTATATGTGCTTGTTGGCTACTTGTATATTTTCTTTTTAGAATGTCTTTTTACATCTTTTGTCTATTTTTAAAGTTGGGTTGTCTTTATATTTGTGTTTAGAAGTATTTCGCATACCCTGAAGACTTACTGATACACATGATTTATAAATACCTTCTCCTAATCTGTGGGCTGAAGCTGTTGTTTATATTATGATCTGTAGAACAATTTAGCAATAAAGTTAAGCAAGTCAGGTAAAAATAAAAAGATACCTTGAAATCCAGTGTTCAGGTCCCTCATTTCTTTCCCTAAAGACTATTCCTTTTCAACGTTTTGGGAAGTTTCTTCTTTTATGATGTAAATATACACTGTATGTTTATAAGAATCACCTATTCTTTTAGATATTTCCAAATATGAACCTTAAGGTCTGTATTTTCAGCCAGGGAGATAGCTCAGTGACATAAGCTCCTGCTTGGCAAGCACTAGGTCCTGAGTACGATCCCCAGCACAAAAAATTAATTAATTAATTAAAAATGCATTTTCGGTTAATGAGCAGAAGTTAGCAGTGATTGTGTGTTTTTCCCATCTTTTGAAGAGTTTCAAATTTTCATTATATACTGCATTTGGAAACTTAGTACCTTCTGATGGGTTCCCATCAGAAATTTGTGTGCATTTAATTTAATCATAGTGAGAATTAACTATGCAAAAATGAATTAGTATAAATATACCACTCTGGGGCACTTCAGTATCCTAAAGCACACAGTTCTCTATGGTTAACATAAAGGCTTTCTTGTTTTTTTAAGTTGAAACCACTCACAGACATTAAGAAACATCTGTCATTACCCATCACCCCTGCCCACACAGGTACCAGTTTCATGAACAGTATGTGCTTTTTTTTTGTTTTTTTGCACAGTACTAGGGATTGAACTCAGGCCAGGCAGGTGCTTATTCTACTGAGCTATGTCCCCAGCCCTAGAATGTACTTTTACATGTGACCACTCTTATTATTTGTGTGAGCTGTTTCATTAAATTGTTCTCACAAATGTATTGAGATGCATTGTGTAAAAAATGCATTTGAATATTAATCTTAGCAAAGCATCTTTAAATAATAGTCTTCATTTCAGTAGATATTAAGATTTTATATGAGCATTTTGAAAATGTCCTTTGTATTTTATTTCAGATTGGAAGAGTGGGGAGATTAGGACAGAATGGAACAGCAATTACTTTCATCAATAACAGTTCAAAAAGACTCTTCTGGGACATTGCAAAGAGAGTGAAGCCCACGGGATCCATTCTTCCCCCACAGTTACTAAATTCTCCTTACCTTCATGACCAGAAGAGAAAGGAGCAACAGAGAGATAAACAAACTCAGAATGACCTGGTTACAGGAGCTAATCTTATGGACATTATTAAGAAACATGATAAAAGTAATTCTCAAAAGTGATATATTATGCCACTTTGCATCATTTTTTATTGTGCATTTCAGCAAAATTTTATATATTATTATATGATTTGAATAAAGGAGAATGTACATAAAATTTTTAAGGTATTTTTTAATTTAATAAAATGATACAATATTTATTTTCTGTTTGTCATAAATTATCAAAATCAGAAAGTGAACCTGTGAAGTAAAATAAAAAATTTCTCCTCTGAACAATTTGGTTTTTGTTTTTGATATTAGTTTTATGTGTGTGTGTCTGACAGTCTTGCCACATAGCCCAGGCTGGCCTCAAACTGTTGATCATCCTGCCCCTGCCAGGTGTATGCTACCATCCCTGGCTGTTTTGTTTGTTTTTAATAACTAATCTCAGAGATGCTGTCAAGTCAGAACTGTCCACGACAGAGGGGAGTGGTGGTGGGATTCTTATACACAATGGTGGTTCTTTGGGTTATGTCTCTGGTGGGAGGCATATAGCTTGTGAATTACTGTTGAATGTTAGGAAAAAAGGAAATAATTGAAAAAAATGGTCAGAATGAACCACCTTTCAAAGATAAATTCAAAATGTCTTTTTCTCAACTATTCTCCCTTCAGCGTGGCTAATAAATTATTAGTATTTAATATGGGCTATTTAGCAAAGTAATATTACTTCATACTAAAGTTGCTTTGTATCCTAGCTTTTTTCACTTTGCTAATTCAAATGGTAGTTTTAAATATTGAAACAAAGACAGGCGGTTGGCTTTGGTATTCTTCCTTTAAAGACTGGTGGCATCAAATTATTTGCAGAATTTAGATGGTTTATTACACAAATATTGACACACAGATGTTCTAGAATACGCATCCTCCTTCAAGGATTGTGGGAGCAATTAAGCCTCCATATTTGACCTATGGAGTCCCCATCTAGATAGTGGTAGCCTCATCTAAAGAATGAAAAGGGTCAGAGGTTCCCTAAAGTGGCCTGGACCTCAGGCCTCGGGCTCTCTCTGTGTCTGTCTGTCCGTAACTGTTGAGTAGTGAGTAGGTTCATTTTAGGAGAACAGGCATGAGCACCTACCAGGGCGCTCTCGCAGAGGTGCACTGCAAGGCTAGCCTCAACAGCAGTAACATATCACTTAGTACTGGTTTCTTAAAAATACTGATAATAACCAAGGAAGTTTCTTTTGTATTTGTTTATAAAGAAATGTTTGTTTAAAATTAAAAAATAGGGTAGTTAGAAAAACAAGATGGCTTTGTGAATCACTACTTACAGGGGACTGTATTTAAGCAAAAGCATTGTTAGGGTATAATGTAGTCTCCCTGGTCAGCATACCCTGTGGAAGGCTAGCTAATGTTCCCTCCACTGTAGTCACTGCACCCCGACCTCTAGTCACCTGTTACCTTAAATCAACACGCTGCTGCTGTCACTGTAAAAAACGACGGCCTTGCGCTGGGCACTGATGGCTGCCCTTTGTGCCTTATGGGAAGGAGCTCCAGCTCGCAGGGTCGTGGTGCAAGGTCTGTTGCAGTGGCGCCTGCTCTTCATGCCCTTCCCCTGCCTTCTCATTATGTAACCTTCAGGCTCCTCTTACTAGCTCTTCAGCTTCTCTGAATCTCAGCTGTTGGCTTCTGTTTCCCAGTCCTAGCAATCTTTCTCTTAACAACCTCTTCTCTCCCATTTCTTCCCCCTTCTATTGTCTAGGGTGTTGCAAAGTGGTGTTTTCCTCAATTATGTATCATATAGCCAGTAATGTTGTATAAACTTTAAAGATTGAAGGGCTGGCCAAATAGCTCAGCAGATTAAAGCACCTGCAAGCAGGCGCAGGGGCCAGGGGTTTGATCCCTGGGCCTGCTGTGCCGCCCCGCCCTCCAGGGTGTGCTAAAATGTCAGCTGAGACTGGGTGTGGTGGCATGCGCCTGTAATCCCAGCACTTGAGAGGCTGTAAACAGGTGGATCACTATGAGTCCGATCTATATGGTGAAACCCTGAATACCCTGTAGACCCTTCCCTAAAATACAGAAAATAAAAATAAAGATTGATGCTGGTGTTGCATTTTTTTCCCAATTAAGGATATTTTTTATGGCTGGCGAGATAGCATTTTAGTTCAGCTAAGTGCCTGCTTAGGCAAGTGCAGGGATTAGGTTCAATCCTGAGCACCACAGGCCCCACCCACCCCACCCCTGGGTGTGCTGAGCCTGACCCCAAGTCTAAATGTGGTGGCTCACACCTGTTATCCTAGTGCTAGGGAGGCTGAAAACAGGAGGATCACTACAAGTCCGAGCTGCATAGTAAGACTTTGTACCAAACACATTAAAAATATATATATATATATTTTAAAGGTTGCCATCTACTATCATTTAATGATGAAAGAACATGCTGTACAAAACAAGGAAGAGGGGCTGGTGAGATGGCTCAGTGGTCTAAAGCACCTACTTAGAACAAACTTAGCAAAGCACAGGGACCGCGGTTCAATCCCCCAGCACCACATGCCAGCCAGCCCCGCCCCCTGGTGGGCTGAGCTGCCCCCCCCATAAATAAATAAAATTAAAAATTAAAAAAAAACAAGGAAGAAAGACAGAATAGGGGCCAGTTCTTCCTAAGAAAGGACACCAATGTACTATATTATAAAAATGTTAAATAACAGGTTTTTATGGGAAATTTATTATGCAGTTTGAAATCTTAATCAGCTGAAATGACTAATCACATACTGTTGCCATTTATTTTATTCTTCCAGTAACGGTATTACACGAGAAAGATACTGCATTAACCTTTTGACTCTTTTATTGCTATATCAAAGTAGGCATCTTTTATATATTAAACACCTTGATTATTTTTGTATCTGGGTCAGCTACCTTATTTTTCTAATTGATGCAAAATGAAAGGTATGTATATGCTAATAGGGTATGTACAGTCCCATTAATGTTTGATTAATGAGGTTAATGTAATGTTTGATACATATGCATACTGCATAATGTTAAAATCAGGCTAAACATATTGACTGCCTCAAACATCTATCTGTTCTTTGTGTTGAAAGTTAGATACCTTAACTATAAATGGCTTTTGAATTCTGGAATATTCAGTGTAACTTTATAAAATAATTTGTGTGTTTGTGTGTGTGTGTGTGTGTGTGTGTGTGTGTGTTGCTGAGAGTTGAGCCCAGGGCCTTGCATATGCTAGGCAGTCCCTACCACAGAGCCACATCCCCATCTCATGGGATAGTTTTGATGATATTCTTTTAGTATTTCTAATACCAAACATATTCTTAAAGTCAAAAAGGTTTTTTTCTTTGTGTGTTTGTGTATGTGTGTAGGTGGTTTCATAATACCTTTACAAAGAACATTGCCACATGTTTAAAGGACAGTTAGCAGAGATCAGTTTAATGCACTTTAATAAATCTAAGCTAGATCTACTGACTTATACCAATAAAACTATATTATTTTCTTCTGGTGGTTGAATATTGTTCAGGTTGTGCTTCTCTGTGGATTTTATATCAAAGTACCTCTTATTGCCTTGTCATATATTTTACCACAATTGACACAAAATTTGCTCCATGAACATAGGTGTGGTACAAGAGATGACAAGTCATCCAAGGTGACTTTCCTGGCAACCTCAAGTAAACTGACTCCAAAGAGATAGGACTCTTTTGTTCTCTTGGGGCACACTTACAATGACCCTGAAGGCACTAGGACCACAGTGTGAAAACCAACCAGTGATGGTTAAGAAAACACAGTTCTCTTTTTCAGTTGTCAGGGACGAGATTATTTTACAGTTATACTTTATAATATCCAGCATATGTGGTGTTCCTGGACCAAATTACACAAAAAAGACATGGCATTTACTTTTATAATATATTTTAAAACAGTAATTTGAAAGTTTTGATTTTATAAAAAATTTGTACTTTTTATTTTTCTTTATTTCATCTTAGATGAAAACCTGGCAAATCTGTTTGAAAATTCCTGTGTTCTACTAGTTTTTTAAAAGGCAAATTAATTACTACTCTGATCTTCAACTTTGTTCACCTATAAAATGAGACAAGTTGCTTTAAAGTCCTCTGAGGTCTTCCCAATGTACGTATGCTATGGGGTGTGTGTGTGTGTGTGTGTGTGTGTGTGTGTGTGTTACTGGTGATTAAACCTAAGGCCTTCACACTGAGCTGCATCCCCACCCTTTTTCTTTACTTTTTAAAAATTGTGAGATAGAGTCTTGCTAAATCACTAGATTGCCCACACATGGCTCAAACTTGTGATCCTCCTACCTCAGAGCACTAGGATTATAGGTGGGTGCCACCATCCCCATTATGTGCTTCTAATTTAAAATCCCTGTCTCCATGTCTGTAACTTTCTTTGCAATAATATGAAATAGAAAGCATGGATGAAACACTGGCCAAGAGTTGATCATCACTGATGTCAAGTGATAAGCAAAGGGGAGTTCATGACTATTTGGGGTCCACTGATGTATTTGAAATTTTTGTGTGGGTTGAGTATCCCTTACTTGAAATGCTTTGGACCAGAAAAGTGTTGGATTTCAAGTTATAAATGTTTGAATGTTTTCATATAATAATGAGCTTTCTTGGGAATGGGATTCAATCTATTTCTTGTTTTGTTTGAGACAGGGTCTTGCTATGTAGTTGAGGCTGACCTTGAATTTGCTGCAACCTTCCTGCCTCAGCCTTTGGAGTGCTGAGATTACAGGCATCACCACCACACCCAGTGGGACCCAAACTAAATCTAAAGTTCATTTAGGTTTCATATATACCTTATACACATAGCCCAAAGGCAATTTCGTACAATGTTTTTAGTATGCTTGCAGTTTGACTGTAGGTCATCAGCCCAAGATCAGCTGTGGAACATTTTACTTGTGAGGTCATGTCAGTGCTCAAAGTGTTTCAGAGTCTGGCACATGTAGACATCAAGGCCTCAGATTGAGGATGCCCAGTTTGTACAGATTAAGCTGAATCCCCGTCCTTTTCACACGTGCTCTCGCTGTATGTCTTCAACTTACCATGGAACTCTCTACCTCAAATTCAACAGATCCAAAGCCAAACTTACCATTTTCCTTACACAAAGTCTAATCCCTCCTTTCTGACTCCCCTATTGTCTGTGGGGCCGCCACACTCCCAGTAATGCTCAAAGCTATGGCTGATTCATTTGTCCCCTACACCTCCGTATCTAAGTCACCAACTCCTAGCTGTTTTTCTTTTAAAGT